ACATAACAAGAAACCGTTCTAGGTATCGTTTATGCACTAGACAAGAGTTTCTGTACTGTATGAATTAGAATATTTACGTGTCTACTTATGGTTAAAATTACACTAAACTTTTGTAACTGATGACTTGTTTTTTTTTCTCGTTCTCTAAAATTGATATGCGCTGTTGTTCGACATTGTGTCATATGAATGTGAAAATGTGCGAAAAAGTGTGACTGATCATATATGTGTTATGAATTCTTTATTTCTGTATTATTTCATTTCTGTGTGCTCTGTCCAAATTTTTTCTTGTACGATAGTTAAAGTTATTAAGATTGATATTTGTCTGCCGTATCCGTGTTGAATAATGTTCTTTGATATGTGAAAGGTATGCTTAATTTATGAGTTTGAAATGTTACGATTATTTCTTCAAAAAGTTTATTTCTGTTCTTGACTGCTCTGTTCGTGACTCGATGGTATGATACTATGAAAACGCGTGTTGATGTAAAATTATATACGAAAGTCGATATTGTCGTTTGTGTATGGCTGTATTTTCTATGATGAAGTTCAATTAATGAACTTGCTTTGATGTATTCTTTCTTTCGTCTACTTATTTTTTATCGTTCCTGTTTTTTTTCTAAATTGTAAAGACGCTCAGGAGCGCGTCTCATCTGAGTGGGAGGGTGTGCCGATATATACGTCACGGCTCGCTGCTCTTCCTCTTTCTCTCTCTATTGTTCTTTCTGTGTCATCTCTCTCCCTTTGTTTCTGTATCATATATAAGTGTGTGTTGAATGTGCAATAGACACATTCTGGAGATGTGAAGTAGCTAATAAACATCATTACCGAGGGTAGCGGTAAGCTACTCCTCCAGTCTGTCATAACATCTCTTCCTCATTTTGTCGTTACACATAGTCTTCCAAAAATCTCGATCTCTATAAGACCAAAAGGACTCAGGGGGCGAAGTGGAGGAGCGAGGTATTGATGTCTCCAAGACTCCTCTTTCTAATAGTGAAAAGCGCAGGTCTCTATCTTATTTCTATCAAAAGTTATTCAATTTACAACCAGGTCTCTTTTATTTTGAAACGGATAATAGATAGTTTTTTTCTTTTGCTGCTTCTATGATGCTTATGAATTTTCAAAATTTTTCATTTATATTCAAAGTTGAACGAGGCAACTAGTTCAGACTATAGCGATGAGTAACAAACGCTTGTGTGTATAGTTATATAGTGAAGAAAAAAATTGGCATCAACAATTTACAAAACCATTCATATATCAAATCGAATATCTTCAATGTTTTTATTTCGCAAAAATAACGAAAACAATCGTTTTGAAAAATAGTATATCTCAATATAAAACAGAACTAATCGTTTTTTTTTTGTCAATCTTGAAAAAGAGATGATTATATTTATCTCTTTCTCCTTTGCTATAGTATAGCATAGAAAAAATATACAATTTTATCAAACTATTTTCTTTTATTAAAACAATTTATAACATAGGAAAATATTGATGAAATTTTTCTGAAGAAAATGATCGATCTAGATCAAGATCTTTGACTCTACTAAAGTTAAAATATGTTCTATCAATGGTAAAACTGTTTGTTATCATTATCAGTGATTCATATTCGATGTAAAGATTAAATAAATAAGGTAGATAAGTTATTTTCTTCAAGAGAAATTGTTCAGCATAATCTACATGTGCCAATTTTAGATTAAGAAGTTTAAGATGAGGAAATGTAATTAGTTCAGTAGATGAATTTTGTTTGTCTTTTTGTGGATAACCATTACGTATATGTAATATTTCGATAAAAGGTATATCATGAGAGATAAGTTGAAAGAATTTATATTCAAAAGAAAATATATCAGTAATTACCAAATATCGAACTGTATGAAACATTCCTCCTGGAAAAGAATTATTTATTTCAAGTAAATATTCGAATTGATATGGTAGTGAATAAATATGACATTTTGATTCAATACTATTTGAATTCATATTAATATATGAACCAATTTGTTGATATATTCCTCTTCCAATAAAACTACGTTGAATATCTTCATTTGATGAAAGATTGATATTAGTATTAAGTCTATAGACAAATGTTTGAATATTAAATATTAATTTATTTAATTTATTCATATGACAAAGAAGTTCATTGTATAATTGAATACCATCAATATAATTTAAATCATATACTTTTATTAATAAATATAATTTTAATTCTTCAAGATTTATCATTCGACAAATAAATGGAAAAATTAGAGTAACATGTTGATCTGTATATTCAGGTGAAATTAATAAGAAATATTTTAATTTGGGAAGTTTTTTCTAGAAAGAATATTAATATTGAAAATATCTTGAGGATTTATTTACAAAAAAAAAGATGATCAAAATCGAATACATACTATATTATCCATCCGTCGTACCGGATAATAAATTAATTCCACATGAACAATTAATGTTGTTAAACATTCGAAATTTCCATTAAGAAGAAACAAACATTCAGTAAATGTTGCAAGATTAATTTTTAATTTAGTTAAAGTTGAAGACATTAAACTTGTTTCTGTTAAACGAGAAATACGATTCCAATGTTTTCGTTCAAAAAATAAATCACAAAAATTTAAATCAATTAATTTTTTACATAAAGATAAAATTAATACAAAAATCTTTGATGTAATTTTAAACGATTCTGTATTTGCATTCTTTATATCAATATTAAGATGTGTTATTTGTTTACTAAGAAAATCACGAAGAATAGAATCATCTACAATTTAAAAGAAAAAACAAACATTATTATTAACTTACATTTAACCAATATATTATTTTATTAATTAAATACTATACCTGTTAAATATTGATCAAGTATTTTTCCTTCAAAATTAATAAGTGATAATGAATACAGTTGAGGATAATTAGTAGCATGAAGAATACGTTTTATTGAATATTGTTCAATAGTAAGTGCATTTATTTGATCATAAATTCGACATAAGATTTGATCACATACTCTTGAAAGAATTTTATCATCTATTGAAAATGTCTGATCATATAATGATTCAAAAATTTTGATAGTCATATCAATATTACGAATAGTAAGAGGATCAAGTACTAATCGATCAAATCGTTGATTAACATCCACAAGTGAATATAGAACATCAACTATATTCATTTTATTAAAAATAGTAAGTAAAATTTCATCAGGTAAATCGAGTATATTCAAGCATTTGTTCATCTTTAACTTATACAATGTATTTATGTCAATCTATATATATATATATATTTGCCTTTTCTCCTTCCCACCTATATGAGAACAATGAAGGATCAACGAATATTGACACCGTCATGTTACTTTATAATCAATAAACGGTGGCATTTTTCTTTCTATCGAATATTTTTCGTTATAATTTCTTAGGCCTCAAACAGACTGGAAAAATAAATTACCGTCGAAGATGAATTAACCAATGCCATTGGTTAATTCAGAGTGAAGTCACCTTTTTTTAGATGATTTTTTAGACGATTTAACTCTGAATTAACCGATGACATTGCTTAATTAGACTTTGACTTAATTCACTTTTTCAGTCTATTTGAGGACTTAGTCGGTCTGATTCGGACCTAAAGCTACAAATATGCCGACTAATTCACTTTAAATTGAGAAATATCATTGATGCATTCAAATGGTAATGGCGATTAGATTGGTTAATTCAGTTTTTTTTGTCTGATTGTGGTCTTAGCGATCAATTGCTCATGTCATTCTGTCTTTGGCTTAGATATATGAGTTTTGATAAGAATCCGTGAGAAAGAGATAACTTTTTGTTCAAAAAAATTTCTAAAGAAATATTAGTGTTGAGTTCATTTAAAATGTGAAAAGTTTAGTGTTATGACACTTCGACATTTCTTGTCGAAAAATTATGATTCTCAAATTTATCGAAATATGAAAATGCTGTTGTTACTATTTTGAAATGCCTTAAATATTTTCTACAAATTCCTGTTTTTGTCAGCTGAAATACGATAGCTTACACAGTGGCGTAACGAGAAGTTTTTGAGTTATGGGCCGTTTTCTAGCTAAAATATTTTGAGAAGTGGGTACCCATAGGCAATTAAAAACCAATTGGACTACAATCTTTTAAAAGTTACTGCTCTCACGAAACCAATGTTTGGTTACCACTAGTTATTTTTCAACATTGGGCAATTGATATTGTTGTCAAAAAATGGTTGGGCTATAAATTTTGAATTATTGGGCAATTGTTCAATGACTCTACTCAGGGCTACACCACTGAGCATCAAATAACAACTTATTATTTTTGTGAACAGTTGTTCGGTAGAATGTAATTGCAGACAGTGACAGTTGAGGAGAAAGAAGAAAAACAATCTCATAAATAATTAAAATAGTTAAATGAAATAGATTTCCAGAACGCTAGGAAATTTAAAATAGAATACAAGATTAACCCTTTGAGGACGAAATTTTTGTTCAATCGAAAACTTGTTATTTTTTTAATCACTCTTTATTTGGCTCAAAATGATTACATAAAAATCTCCTGATTATGATAATCAAAAAAACATTTTGATCTGTGATGTTCACCCCAAACTACTATCGGAATTTTAAAAGAAGGCC